AAGTCACGATCCAGCTGACGACCCCAGCGAGTGCACCTGCGATAGGTGGAGCATACCAAGGAAGATGCGTTACTGTTGCATCGACCTCAGCAACTATTGAAGAGTGATCGATGAGACGCGTTTCTTCCTTGTATGTTGGTGTCGTGCCTCTCCTGGAGAAGAGTCGACAGGTTGCTTCATACTTCCATTCATTAATATTGACTTCGGAGTAACATAGTTAATGTATAAACTTACAGTCCCAAAATACGCCCCGTAACCTATATCACGAAGGATCGACACTGTTATGCCACGATAAAAGCCTTGAATTCCGTTCTTCTGCCATATTTCTCTCGCGAGATGCCGGACGCTCAACTGCGACTCGAGTGAGCTTTGTTGTCTAATCTTGAGAACTTCGATGGGGCAGGTGATGAATCTGTGAATTATCCTCATTAAAGGTATCTGAAGACGCAAAGTAACTTGAAGATATGTACGATCCCATGACACCAGTTCCAGCTCCGGCAAGCGCGACCTGAGCTATCGTTGGCTCATCATCTTCGGACTCAAGTTGGCATCGCATCAGGAAGCGATAACTGGCAAATAGTAGCCCGTTGAGCGGTGCGTATGAAACCTTCAGTAGGAAATCGGTATAAAATTGAGCTTTGCTTGGAAGATTGAACATAAGTACGAACCATCGGTGAAAGCATCCCTTTGTAAAGTCCAGTTATTCTTTCTTCACGAAGGATGGTACCGAAGGCTTGAAACGTAGATCTATATCTTCCCGCAATCTCGGGATTTTGGAATCGCACTTTCACTGGAGACATTTATAGGATCAATGCACATCATCTTTATATTGCTACGACGGACCTGTATCGAAAGGGTATCCCACAGCAAGTCCAGCTATACCTTAACTCAAGGAATCGTAGCCTTAGTCACGTTATCTCGACCGGAAAGTAATGCGAAGCACTCACCAGACGAGGTACCACCAATGAACTCAGCCAAAGGCGTCGTCGCAAGCCTCGACCTTGTCTTCGATGATCCTGGAGATAGGTTTCTGAATGATAAAATGTATGGCTTTGGAGCATACGACGCACCCTCTCCTCGCTCAACGTCAACCGACGCATTCTGAGGTCGCCCGGTTTGCGAGTTGTCCGCATGATTCCTCGACATGGGAGAGATAAAATATCTGTTCCTTTATCCCACAAGTTCTAGCTTGAGGATGTCTACGGAGAAAACATAAGATCCATTGCATGAGAGTGGAAAGAAGTTGAGGTGGCCGTCAAAAAGGGATCCTCAAAAGTCGACGTGCTGCACTCCGTGAATGGAGAAAGCTTCCGAACGCGCCGCCAAACACGTCTCGTTCGCACTCTTTCTCCGCAACTTCCACGTCCTCAAGTCCTCGACCATAAAGCTGGATATGCTTCATGACGGAGGAAAGAACAAGGGATACGATGTCGAAGAAGATGAGCAATTATTCTCGCTAGGCGACGATGGGATCGAGGGCGAACGCGTAGCAAGTCCGTCGCAACACGTCGCGGATGAGATTATACCAGCAAATGGACACAGTCGCGAGGTAAAGGTCAATCCCAACGGAATGCCCGAGGTCTACTACGACGATGGGCCCTTCGACCCCCCAAGCTCACCCGAGAGCGAGGAAGAACGAATGTTGCTCGCGAAGGACGGTCATGAGCGTGGAATGGGCGACGGAACAGGCCCAATGAGTCCAGGAGCAGCAGAGAATGGGTTCATAGTTTTGAAGGTGAGTGCTACTGCCATTTCGTCGTGAATGATTGAGCCAAACAATTCTATAGCGCCCACCCAATCCCCTTCGCTTTCTTCTGCTTGCGCTCGCAGGACTCCTCCTCTTCGCTATTGTCATTGGTGTCTTTGCTGCTCATACATATTCTGGCTCCTCTTTCATCGGCGCGCAAGGAACAAGAAGAGTTACGATAGATCATGTCTTTAATGGAACATTCGGCGCTGTCTACAAATCTCTTAGATGGGTTCCAGAAGGTGGGCTCCCAAACGTAAAAACGAACTCTCTCTAACTATGACCAGCTGGAGATGGCGTCTACGCAGCAGACGATGGAGGCAAAATAGAGCTCGTAGATCTTAAAGATGAATCCTCAACGACCTTGATCAACCTCACAGACGTGAAGACGGTACGTTTTCATCTTTCGACGATGTTCTCATGCTCATGCCAAGTGATTTACCAAAGGCAGACGGAAAGCGCCTGGGATTAGCCCAATGGCAACTATCTTCCGACATGAAGTACATGCTAATCAAGGCAGACTACATGAAGCAATGGAGACACTCAAGTTTTGGTAATTATTACATTCACGATATTGCTGCACGCCAAGCACGAGCCATAATCCCACCTTCCTATCCACCAACAACCGCATTCGCGAAATGGTCTCCTGCGGGAGAGGCTATTGCGTTCGTCCAATCGAACGATGTTTATGTTTTGCCGGATGCATCGTGCGTAACCTTATTTTCAGTGTAGTTACTTTCACTTTGAGCTTTTTACAGGCCTGACACCAAACCTATTCGAATTACCTCCAACGGTAATGCATCAATCTTCAATGGTGTTCCCGACTGGGTATACGAGGAAGAGGTCTTCAGCTCCGATTATGCGCTCTGGTGGTCTCCAGACTCGAGTAGAATCGCTTTCCTGTCTCTGGACGAGACTGCCGTTGACGAATATGTTGTTCCGATTTACAATCCGACAGGTGATTCGTACAGTGTTCACCCTTATACCTCGGAATTGGTTATGAAATACCCTAAACCCGGATATGCGAACCCCCTTGTTCAGCTTCGCGTCTTCGATCTTGCTGCGTATAACCAGCGTGTACTCGATGGCCTTGATGATTTCGATCACGGCGAAAATGGAATTAGCGAGGGAGTCGAGGATAATATAGTGACACTCACTTGGAGCGGCAGACAAGATGCAAACGACACCGTAGTAGCTGAAGTGGCTTGGGTCGCCCCTGAAGTGCTGATGGTTCGTGAGGTCAATCGCGCAGCTGACGACGGATCTGTCGTACATTTCGATCTTTCACGATCCTCTGGAAGCTCGGAGGCTCTGGGTCAAGTAGTTCGTCGACTTGGAAAAGACGGGGAAGAAGGAGATCGTGGGTGGATCGAATGCGTAAGTGGAAAAGTTTGTCTTGATTATATTCGGCACTTACTATGCAACAGAAACAAGACATCCGACCGCTTCCCCCAAGTCTCGTACAATCTTTAGGCCTTCCCGGACCTGCCTATTTAGACGTCGTGAATAACTCTGCAGGATTCCCGCACATCGCTCTGTTCTCGCCAGCAGACTCGAAAACTCCCATTTTTCTGACCGATGGCGATTGGGAAGTGACTGGAAGCATCCTCGGAGTCGATGATAACGGAGTCGTGTTAGTTCGAATGTTCGAAAATATTTTACTGTTGCTGAAGACGCCGTTTCAGATATTTCACTGCTGCGTACCCAACTTCTATCGAAAGGACCGTATTTGCTGCTCCTCTGGCGTCGCTCTCTGTCGATGGCGCGAAAGCGTTATCGGAGCTCAGAGCGATGACGGACCATTCAACTCCTGCTTGGTATGAAGCAAGCTTCTCACCTCAAGCGGGTTTCTACCTAGTAAGCTACCGTGGTCCTGGCGTACCATGGCAGAGCGTCCTGAAGAGTGGGGTCGATAGAGAAGGTGGGATGGCTTTCTTTTGTCATTCGAGTTGTTTTTGACACAATATTATTTTCCAGACTTCGAGTACAAATTAGTGGAGAACCAGCGACTCAACAATACTGTAGCTCAATTCCAGCTTCCTCGCATGGTCCGCCAGACTATCGAGATTGAAGGGAATGGTGAGTTGGTATCAAACTGGTCAAGTAGCTTATGTCTAAAGATCAATTAGAATTAAATGTCATGGAGCTCCTCCCCCATGGATTTGATGATACAGGTCGCACCAAGTATCCCGTACTATTCCATGTTTATGGCGGACCGAATTCGCAAACGGTTCATTCGCGGTTTGACGTCGGAAATTGGCATACGTTCCTTGCCTCCGAGTTGAAGTATATTATTGTGGTCGTCGATGGACGCGGGACCGGAGCCAAGGGAAGAAAGCTGAGGAATCCTGTGCGAGGAGACCTCGGGTTCTTCGAAACCCGGGATCAAATCGAGGCGGCTAAGTATGTCTTGAAAGTCTGCATTCGCAAGGTTTGATTAACATGAAGAATAGGATCTGGGCGGGTAAGAAATACGTGGACCCGAAACGTATCGGTATCTGGGGTTGGGTTCGTGAACATGGTTTTCTTTTCAAATCCTCATTAAATTACTTCGTTTACAGTCTTATGGAGGATTCATGACGTCGAAAGTCATGGAAGCGAACGCAGGTATCCATACGTTAGGGATGGCAGTTGCGGTAAGTTCGCTCCTTTGTTGCGTCATTACTCGACCTGAAACCACACACAGCCAGTGACAAGTTGGCGTCTTTATGGTAAGAGTAAATTGCGATCTGCATAGAATAACTCTAATGTTTGGAATGCAGATTCCATCTATACCGAACGTTATCTATCTGTTCCTGAGGCGAATCCAGGCGGATATCTGAATGCATCGATTCACGATATGACCGGATTCCACAACGTTAACTTCCTACTTGCCCATGGGAGCGGGGACGATAACGTTCATTTCGCGAACTCTGCGCACCTTCTGGACATGTTGACAGCAGCAAAGGTTCGGGATTTCAGGTTCAGGATGTTTACGGACAGGTATGCACTGTCTTCCTTCACTCATAAACCTGTTGAAATCATGCAATGACTCGTTACCTCTTCGCAGCGATCATAGTATCACCACTCGAGGAGCTTATCGTGAACTCCACGAGTGGATGACAGCCTTTCTCATAGAAAAATGGGGAAAAGGAGGTACAAAAAGGTCCTGGTAAATTGTAACGTAGTGTACAGAGTACTTTCGCGTTGACTCTTGCAATGCCATCATGGTTAAATTATACCAGTTACAAGACGAGAAAAAGGAACAAAAATTTGGCCAGTATGAGGGTCGAACTCATGACCTTGGCATAGAATCTAAGAAATATTAGTACCACGCTCTAACCAACTGAGCTAACCGGCCGACAAATTTTTGAATTATATTATTTACTCTAGCCTGTGAGCATTTTTTTTCTGGGAAATTCTGTGAAATACACCTCAACGATTTGCGGCAAGACCATCAAGTTGACTTTGACCACGACGCTGGAATGCTATACCAAAACAGAGATAGTAATTCTACAACTTACCGTCTAGGATTAGGCTCTTCTTTACTCCAATCTGTACGTTCTTGTGCATTATTACTATTGGGTGCATGACTGACTCCTGTCCTCCTGACACAGGTTACGATCGCTCGGCCAGGGCCACGGTCTGCTGATGAACTCGGGAATGGCCCTACGCTGTTTGGAAACGATATTCTCGTCTTTGCCCCGGGGTTGGTAAAGAAGAAACTCTGCATTTCAATTGGTAACCTTAGAACTCATGAAGAAATGCGCGAAGAAGGTGCATCATGGCATGGTGTTGCTCTCGTTAGCAGGCCGGGGAGACTGCAATTTCGAATGTTTCCTCCGAGAGCTACCGATCAATCATCTTCGGTCTCAGGTTACGATCCGCATGATGTCTTCGCGAGCTCGGACGCGTGCGATCGCGTCCTTGGTCCATTCCTGGCACTCATGACCTTCGATTTGACACGCTCGCGCAGCTATAAAGATGATTGAAAGTTCTCTTAGCCTTCAATCCCTCCCAGTTCAGTCATCGCCATGTCGCTATTTGGTCTCTTTGGTTCTGCGGATCGTTACAAGTCCTCGCCCCAGCAAGTTGGCACTCAGGTCGACCCGTCAGTTGGTCTCGATAACTTGGGCCTCGAGTATGATATTGTCATAGTTGGTGGAGGTGAGCTTTCTTGGATGTAGTTCATTGACGATTGAGCTGACGGCCTTGTAGGTACAGCGGGTTGCGTTCTCGCTTCCAGGTTGACCGAGGATCCCGCCACGAAAGTTCTGCTTCTGGAAGCTGGCGAGAGGTGAAGATTCTCGTCTCATTTTCAATCAACCGTTTGATACTTATGAAATGGTTTTAGCGGAGTGAAAAACCCTCTTTCTCGCATGCCGGCTACTATGAGCAAACTATTCAAATCCAAGGACGACTACAACCTCCACACTGTGGAACAGACCCACATCGGTGCTAGATCGTGTTACTGGCCTCGAGGTTTGTGGCGGCTTCCATGTTTTATAACTGATGGTCTCAATCGTTCTCCCCGCTTCGAATAGCTAAAATGCTCGGAGGATGTACGTCCCTGTTTACTCGCGAGAATTTGCACAATCACATGTCTTTCTTCCGGCTATAGGTTCATCGATAAATGCAATGATGTAAGTGAAGAGGTTCAGTCGCTTTTCTCAGACATAGTATTGATTACGGATATCACTTCTGATAGGTATCATCAGTGTGCGCCGACAGATTACGACGAATGGGCAAAGAGTGAACAAGACGGCGCTTCCCAGTGGTCTTACAGTAACTTGCGTCAGTAAGTAGTCAATGTTTACCAACCATTTAAAGTTCCTTCTGAACAATGTGCGTCTGGTAGATATTTCACCAAGTTTGAAAAGTACACACCGTCCAAGCAACACCCGGACGTTGATATATCTAATCATGGCACGTCTGGACCGGTCCAAGGTACGTTTCATTTCGTATTCTCCGACTTTGCGGGTCTAATTATGCTCGCTATCTTTCCAGTGGGCTATTTTGGTCACTTTGGCACCATATGTTCCGCGTTCAACGATGCTTGTGTGAAAGTCGGGATACCATACTGTGCCGACGTAAATACACCTTCGGGCACGTTAGGTGTCACAAAGGTTGGTGTAAAATTTTAATCATTTTAGTTGGTTTACCTAACGCGCGATTTCAGATTAGTATGGATACTCTTACTAGAATTCAGGTACTTGGCTGAATAAATACCTACAGTGACATATATCGACAGTAGCGGCCAGCGCGTTTCTACCGAATCAGCCTACCTCACGCCGGAGGTGCTGAAGCGCCCTAATCTCACTGTCGGCACTTCTGTGCAAGTCACTCGCATACTCTGTGACGTGGCTGGTAGCAAACCAAAAGCTGTGGGAGTCGAATTTGCGGGTCAAAAGACAGGCCCAAGGTACAGAGTCAAGGCACGAAAGGAAGTTATACTTTGGTGAGCGAAGATCCTGATAAATATCCCGTATAATTTTAACCGGTCGGTCTCTAGCGCTGGTGCCGTCCACACTCCACAGGTAAGCTGAACGTCCTGAAATCTTCATGATTAGGGGTTCTCACAAGATATTATGCAGATTCTGATGCTCTCGGGTATCGGTCCAGCTGACCAGCTCAAAGCGCACAACATTCCCATCGTACGGGATTTGCCTGGGGTCGGCGAACACCTAATGGACCACCCGACCGTTCCTGTGCAGCTCAAAATTCGAAGGGGCTCGACGCTGAATTTTATGATGACGCGATCGCTTTCAGAGCAGGTCAGGACTCTGAAAGCACTGGCCGAGTACAAGATCTTCGGGACGGGTCCTTTGACAACTAACGCAAGTATTCATATTTTTTGAAGAAGGTTCGAAAACAAACATGAACATCTATCTCTCGATCTCCTAGATCGGAGAATGTGCTGCATTTCTCCGGACGACTGACCGGAAGCTCTTCCCGAAGGATGACTTTCCCGAAGAGCTGGAGGATTCCGCTTCCTCACCAAATGCTCCGGACGTTGAACTCATTGCCGCGCCAGTGTCATTCCATAACCACGGGTTAGAAATCGTCCCCGAAGAAGATGCTGCAACGGTCATTGCCGTGCTACTGAGGTATGTATAAGCGCCAGGAAAACAAAATTATCCATCTGACGCCTCGAACAGGCCGACGAGCAAGGGAAGCATCAAACTGAAGTCATCGGATCCTTTCGAACAGCCTGCAATCGATCCCAAGTGCGTCAAATCTGTTTGCAGAAAATTTCCCCCCTCAGCTGACTGATATGCCGTGGATAAACAGCTACCTGGAAACAAAACACGATGTCGACGTCCTGCTCCGAGGCTTCAAGGTAGCGCTACGCATCGTGCGCACGGAACCTTACAACTCCTATGTGAACGCGACGGGGGATGACCCCTTCTTCGATCACGATACTTTGAAGAAGCCAGACTCCGTGCTTGAGCAGGAAATGCGCAAGCGTCTCGAGACGCTGTATCACCCAACGAGCACGGCACGTATGGCGCCACTGGAAGAAGGGGGTGTCGTGGATTATTACTTGAAGATATATGGAGTTGATGCTCTGAGGGTGGTTGATTGCAGCGCGTTCCCAACGGTGCCTGCTGGCCATACGGTTCGTCATTCATTTTAATCCAACAGTTCTTTCGCTCATCTCTTGCTTTCTAATTCATGTGCAGTCTGCGCCTGTTATTGCTCTGGCTGAGAAGGCGGCGGACATTATCAAGGGGCAGCTTGCTGCTTAAACTTCTCTCATGCTAGCCCGCTCTGATGTGTAGTTATATCATTCATGTTTCATTTCGTTCCATTCGCCATGTAATAGTACTCGCTTGCATAGGTTGCGCCGCGCCCATGAAATAAGAACCCTTTCATCTGGGCGGCGAGCTCGCAATACAACACTGTCACGAATCGAAAACCTCAGGGCGAATCACAACTTGCATCATCGGGAACCCAGCGAGTATTGCTATCCGTGATGTGCGGCGGAAGCTTGGTTGTAATAATTCAAGTCCAGATTTTGCAACGCAACCTCGGCCGCTGAATTTTCAGAAGCGACTTTCGTCGATTTCTCTTGTCCTGAAAATGCATGACCTTGGACTTCAAACTTTTAGACTCGTTTCTATATTTTCAGGCGCTAGAACCGACCTGTCACTGACGATGACCACTTCAAACTGGATTGCGGTCCACTGCAATGACTGTCATAGACAGGCATCGATAATTTGGATTGTTGACAGTAATTGTTCAAGTGCAACTTCCAGCCTACGAAATGAATAAAAATAAGATAGCCATAATTTTCAAAGGGGGAAAGCGTACTTGGAGTCTTGGTTGACATGTTCAAGTTGACTGGCGATGCAGCTGAATGTCGAATGGTCTTGGAGCATGATTCCATTGCGTACTTATAAGCAAGCAAGGGGACTTGGGTAACATGTAGGTCCGAGCGTTCCTTTAATTTTTGGGTGTAATCTCCTCGGTTCCCTATGAGCTTCTGTTAGCTTGAGCGCCGCCTCGAGGCTTTCGCATTTCTTTGAGGTCTCGTGATGACTGGCGGGTGGCGGCTCGGAAGACAGGAACCTTCATTGAAATTGTCTCATTGAAGTTCACCTTGAAGCGTTCAGACAAAGGCAACAGACCCGCCATTGCTCGAAGGGCGTGATGTCGCCTGGAATTCGGATTCTAAGGGAGAGGCGATGAGACTTCCAGACCAAAGTTTGAGACCAAAGTTTGAGGCGCTCGGAGAAAATAGGACATCGTGAATGGAATATTTGACTGTTCACATTGTCAATTCGATTGAAATACATGGATTGAATACATACATATGGGAGAGGTATAACGACAGCGATCCTATTAATTGGGTGTTGCGTTTAAGGTATACGTTGAAGGGTGATTGAATGTACAGTGCATGGATGATGGTGATGATGATGGACTCGTTGATAACAGTACACAGCGAAGTGATATGATGGGCGAGATGATCAAACACCCTTCCTCCAGACCTGGGAGGAGGGTGTTCGAAAATATATATGCTGAAGTAGATGGCGAGGAGAGGAAATAGATTCGTACAGATAAGGTGTAGATCCACTGGCATTTTGGTTGTTGGTAAAACTTGGTGATGGTTTCAGGAAGACAAGCGGATGCATGACGACTGTCTCAAGGAGAGAGCTGTTAGTCGCGCATCTCATCGTCCGTCGAGAACGCGTAGCCCGGATCAATCATGATTGGGTCGACGGGGCTGGGAGCGGTGCTGCCTGGAGGCGTTGTCATCGCCATCACAAGCTTCAGAGCGAAGTCCGGCGTAAGGTAAGTCGCTCCCGGAGACATGACACCCGTCGTCCCCGTAGACATAGCACCAGAGGAAACGCGATC